CGCCACATATTATTTTCTTCCTTAATTACATGGGAAATCGCATTCTGCCAATCTTCAGGATTTATACGTTCTATACCGGTTTTTAATAAACTTTGAACGTCGGCTATTTTAAAAGTTTTATTTTCTCGAGCTACAAACCCTTTCACTTGCGCCCAAATTAGTTCAATAGGATTGAATTCGCAGTGATAAGGGGGAAGTCTTAATGCCGTAATACCACGATCACGAGCCATTGTGTCGACAACATATTGAATATATTTATGGCGGTGTTCCTTTATTAGGTCCATTAATTCCACTTTAAGCATCTCCTCAGTAAATGTTATTGCTTTATCCCGTAGCGAGGTTTGCATATCCGCTTTCCTATTGGACATTATCGGAATGCGTTAAACTCGTCGACTGCGATAAGAAGTGTTATCTAGTACAATAACTAAATTTCGTTCTACACGCTGTAATACTTCAATAAACCATTTTTCAAAGCATTCCGCATTCATGTCCTCGTGGTAGTCTCCTGTTTTTTCGATATAAACACAAGAGCGCTATTTTTCAAAAATTCACTATCACTTCCGATATGGGTAACAATTAGGCGCTGTCCTTTACCTGATGGTGATTTCAAACCTGTAGGTAATCCCTCTATAAAAGCTTGGCGATGACTAGTTACAGAAGTATCTTGCCATATCTTAGGTACCGTGTGTCCAGCATTCACTCACGTTTCATCGAGATAGTATATCTTTTTTTTTTAGCGGCTCTAAACTCTTTAATATTTCGTAAATAACGCCGTCGCCAGGACACTATATCTGACCTATCAATTAAAATTGATTTCCTACACCATTTGACAAAACGAAATTTTTGGTAAAGTTTCACGGCTCATTAATAGAATTTCTTCGTTTCCTTTTAATTTCGTAAGAACACCTTTAAGTGTTGGGGCTTTGTTTTCGAAAAAAAAAAAGAATGTACAGTTCTTCGAATGATTTGTTTTTGGTTATCGTCCAATTTTAACAATTTTCGACTACGGGTATGCGTTTTAGGGGCTTCTAAGGAGCCTTTTTTTTGTATTTTCGCGTACAATACATTCAATTGTTAAAACAGATGCCCCAGTTAAAAAATAACTGCGGTTTACAGCTTCATTTGTAAGAAGTGTCTGTTTCAGCCCATCATACACTTTCCATATAATGTTCATTTCATCCTTTGATAAGGGCTTTCGCCGACGTAATTGGGTTTCACTTGGACCCGCCTCTGAATCCATTACTATTGTAACAATATAATTCTTCTATTAAATTGTTTTTATTAAATTTATAAAGACACCAATATTTTACTATTTAATAAACTTTTAAAGTACCTACCTAATATACTACACAATAAATATAACTCCTAGAATATGCACTACCATCACCAAATTGTAAGGCACAAATATGAACACCTACTCGTATATCAGAAAAGAGCACTTATTCAAAAAAGTGTTTATAAAATATAAAATAATTATCGTAAATAGTTAAAGCGATACAAATCTAACTTCGTCGAAAGTTAGTTTTCAACTGGCTTTGTGCCTGTGCTGACAATATTCAATATGTAACCCGTATGTATGTTGTTTATTTACTTGAAACACATTTTAAAACCATTAAACACAGATAACGAAGTCATTAGGGAATAAATATATTCATTTCTTGAAAACTATCAAAAACGTATATTTAACGCACCATCTTTGTTTAAATAAAGATGTTGACAAACAAATTTAATAAAGTTTACTAACAAATACCCAATAAATAATAAATAATTATTTGGTATTTGATACACCGCCACAGCCCTCAGAAAGTCTAGATACCGCTTGGCGTATACTGTCAATACAAAAAAATGACCCCATTCAAGCTTGTCGCCATGTTAGGTAAATTTATGTTTTGGCTACACTGATTTTTAGTTTGTGTGTTCTGTAATACGTGAACACCGATAATCTGCACTTTGTTATTAGTTATAAGTGAGTGAGACGCACAATTTCTAATTTCAAATTAAGAACAAAACTTTGACAAACCTATTTGATTTTCCTAGATCTGTTCAGACAGGACCGGTTTTATAAAATTTCTCGTTCTTGAAATGTTATTTTTACATGGTTATATATTATTGGATAAGTGGTTTGTGTACATATTGCTATGAGAATTATAGAGAAATTCAGTGAGATTTATGTAATATAATTCAAATTACAAGTAAACCATCTGTTTCTGTTTGGCAATATGGAGAAAATACCTACTTCAATGTCAAATGTACTATATAAAAGAATGTGATTGTTAACCGGTCATTTATTTATATTATATTATGAAAATAAAAACTCGAATTTTTTAACTAGGGAAAGATATACTTACATCGGTAACAAGGTATTTTTAGAAAAACTAATAGATTACTCCTATTCCTATAGTTTATTTGAAAATGAATAATATCAAAATTATATAAAAATATGGACCTTTGCCATAAAAACTGTGCTACCAAGCATTTTCAAATAAACTATAATTATAATTTGATTTAATAGAGCGAGTATAAGATCTCACCTGTTAGAGAAATTGGGGCATAGGGAAGAGATTATGAAGCAGGTAAGCAAAGTCATTGCAAAAGATAAATATATAGAAGTTATTTTAAAAATTTGATAAAAAACTAGTGGAACAACAAATGGAGTTGTCGCTATCGGAGATCCAATCAGCAGAAAGTAAAAAAAAAAACTTTGGGAATGTTGGAAAAGGGCCCAGCAATAGGCCCAAAACAATTCCTTGGTTTTTTAATAAATATAATCTGAGATGCAAAAAATACTGCTAGAGTGGAGAAGCAGTATTTTTCTAATGTAGAAAACCCAGGGACATACAGTAGTGCACTAACCATAGGCGAATAGTCACTAAATTATACAAGAGTCCCATCTCGATTTTATTTTTAAATATTTTTGAGAATACCTATTATTATTTGTAACATTGAGTTTAATAAAACCACAGATTTCGAATGTATTGAAAGTTATTTAAAAAGTACCTCTATAAATATATAGAAAATGTGTATATGACTAACTGGTTTTATTAATCTTTTTTTGGGGTAGGTAAATATATTTTGAAAAATTTACAAACTTCTTTTGAATAAAAGACAAAATATTTCTGTTTTTATTAACTGAACAATATTTTATACGAACATAATATATACCTATTTAAAAGAAAATATTACATTTTACAAGTATCGCATATTTATATGAAATAACTTACTCAATAAGAAAGAATTAAATGAAACAAATTAATAAACAATAGATATGAAAAATTGCTTTAACAATTTAATCCTTAGATAAACTTATTCTTACATATTGCTTTAATCAATTTATTTACTATAAAAGTATATTTCCTATCATTTATTACATATAATAAAATAAAGCATAAAACATACAAACTATAATATGTACCTACTTAGAACGGAACTAATATTATTGAATCAAGGTAGTAATAGTGGACATTTTCCGAATAAAAAAAAGTAAAAAAGAAGAGTAACGGTCGACACGTTTTTCTGACTATTGGTCTTCATCAGTACGGTGCAGCCAATTTCAAAGGATCATGGAACTTGTGTTGGAAAAATTGTACAATAGGTCACTAACAAGGAGCCAATAACACATTTGCCGTTTCAGCTAGTATCCCCAAATTTTCTGGGCTTATACTAAAGTCACAAAATGATTCAATGGTCTTCCTATGGCTATCAGTTATTCTTTCCTAACATTTTTTTGTATGCTACAACAAAACATACAAATTATTTGATTTTGTAAATACACAAATATTTGTGAAAACTTACACATGAAATGTTATTCCTTCCTTGTATCTTCTACCGTTAGATGCATTGTTACATTCACGTACAAAACAAAAAGAGATTTTGAAAATCCTGTAAAAATTTAACACCAAACCACAAATGTTTTTTATTAAAATAAAACACTAAACGACTAAACTAAAAAATAATGTTTTAAATAAAACCTTTACTAGAAAAACAAAATAAACAACATAACAGATAAAATCGATTATATACGTCGAACGCCGATCTTACGCTTATTACTAAACTTGCGCCGATTCTGTCTTGTCAGTAGTGCCAACTTAAAATTTATTGACATTTATTTATCATGGCGCTCATCATATGGGGGGTCAAAATGTTTTTACGATGCGGTATCTAGACCTTCTGAGGGCTATGTACACCGCCTATGCCTGACTCTGTCGGAATTTTCATTCATAGATAACAGTGTTGATCATGCATATGAGTCACCTTCTCCAATATTTTGTCCGAGTTATAGGTTTGAATTTGCCATAAATCAAAAACGTCTTTATATATTAATTTCAAATTTGGTGACCAATATGCTCTTTAATAAAGTAATATTTTGACATAAACTTACAACTAAATTTTTTTACCAGTGACGCGCTATCAAGGTTAATGGTAATGTCCCCCCCTATTTTTTATGCCACTGGAAAAAATAATATTTCCCATTTTTTTAAATTCTCTGTTCATTTTTTGTAAATAAAAAGTAAACTTTTTATGGAGCTAAAATGAACAGTGTTAGTAACACTGTGTTACAGAAATTTGCTTCTAAACAAAAGTCTACATATTTTTAATCACTTGTAAGGTCTCAATATTTTTAAATTTTAATCTAGTACGTACCTGTCATTTTTTTTATAATTTGTGTTTTTGACAAGATCTTGGTAGATCAAATTTGAAAAAAATATTTAAAGACGTTTCTGTTTTATGGTAAATTTTTAACACCCTGTATCTCGGTAACTAAGATCTTTAGGATTTCATGTTCCTCTATCAAAATTCATTAATTAACGAGAGCTCTCTGTGATAGAGCATTGTAGGTCGAATATACTAACACCAACAATTGTTGTTGACTACCACTTCAATCGCTTCTGAAACAATTTTGATGAGGTTTATAGGCCCTTTTATATAGTTTGACTAGTATAAGCAATACCTACCGTTTTAACTTTTATATAAATTATTAGTAAAGTTAAACATTGACTTACATGGGTTTATAACCAAATATAAATAATAATGCGTCAATAAAAATAGCAGGAATAAGTTGAAAGAGTACAAAGTTGATTTGATTGTAAAGACGACTCTTTGTCATCGTTCCTCCAGGGTACCAAAGTATTCCATTAAACGGTGCCTTAGTTTCTATGATTTCTCTACCCAAATTCATAATTTCCTCCCAAGTCATACGGATATCTTTCTGTGGTACACATGCGTTAAAAATGTAAGGAGGATTCCTGAAAAATAAATGAAATTAGAAACAAATGTTAAATAAATTTATCTCTTTCTAAATGCTACTGTTTAAATACGACCATACGCTACAATTTTTGCAAATGTTACCAAAAAAATTTACAAACTGCAGCTCGAACAAACTTAATAGGTCTGTTCCAACAACGGTCAGAAACCAGTCTCTGACACCAGGATTCAGCGCAATATACAGGGTGTTTCAAAAAGGTATGTCATAAATTCATCCTTAGATAGATTACCAAAAAATAAGTGGATTTGGCTATATTTACCTATATCAAAAACTGGCTCCCAACAAAGTTACAGGGTGTTAAACTAACATTCAGAAACACGTTTTTTTTTTGTAAAAAGTTTGCTGTTGCGATTTTTTCTTCGAAATTTTTGCCAGTGCTGTAGATGTGAAGGCCCAATATTCTAAAGAGAAAAAAATTAATGCGACCCCTTTAAAAAAGTTGGGGAATTGGGTACCTTTTAACCCCCCCGTATTTTTTTTGACATAAAGAAACTTGCTTTATCGATCCTAAAATCAAAAAGAACTATGAATTTTTAATTTTTTTTTATAGCAAAATGAACTTTGTATCTTTCTTAGTTAACGAGCCATTTATAATTTTTTAACTGAATTTCTAGAGCAATTCGTCCGTCCTGGACTTAACATATCAACAAAATTAAGATTAGGTCAGGAGTTATATTATACCAAAAATGCATATAAAAATCGGTAGTGTGTCTAGGGCTGTGCTTGAGCCGCCCCTGCAAAAACTACCTCTTTTATTTATATTTTTGTAAAAAAGGTATTTATAATATTGGATTGGCGCCATAAAAATAGTGTGTCACCCGTCCTCATGGGTTCACCCACAATATATCCCCTATAGTAGTGCATCTCACTTGTTAAAGAGTTGGCACTAAGTTTGCAGCGCAAGAATGCGTCTGTGTCTGGCCGCTCAACTAACTCGATATGGCGGTAAATTCAAATATAATTTAAAGGTGAAATTTAAATTTCCCGCCAAAATTGTAAATTTTCAGCGGCGGAATGGCGGGAATTTTTAAATATATTCATTCGGCAATAATTATTGAGAAGTATATTGCATGTTCGATTAAACGAGCTGTAAATCCAAGCGCTATTTTTATTGTGATAGCTAAAAATAATACTAATTCTTTTATTATTAGCTATTACAATAAGAACAGCATTTGGATTAACAACACATTTAAAAGAACATGTAATATACTTTTCAATTTTACCTAAATCACTTATTTTTTACCTATAGAGGTTAGATCTGAAAAAAAATTGGCTCTGGTAAAAAAACAAAAAATTGTATATAGTATTTTATTTGAAAAATTATAAAACTTATTTAATATATTTTAAAGACGAAGATAACTCTAGCCATATCCATTTTACTGAAAAAAAAAGAAACTATTAAATGAAATCATTTAGTTATTAAGAGATGTTTGTGATAATACAGTGGCAGCTATCGAATGTTGTACAATACGTTTTGCTAATGTCCAAGTAAAAACTACAAAGAGTTAGCATTAGTGGGAGAAGGAATAGAATACTATGAACGTAGCCAGCCGGCTACGTGGGGATGCATCACACCGTGTGCCTGTTCATATTACACAGCACACAAGGCAACATTCATATTATTCGTTTCCTGATCGAACTAATGCACTAACTCTTTAGTTTTATTTTCGATTCTAGCCAAGCGTATTGGAAAGTGTTCATTAGCCGATACTGTATATAAATGCTAAAATCAATAAGTGAAATAAAAAAATTTAGTTTAAATGGACATCTACTTCGAAAAAAGTAAATTATTATACTTGAATTTTAAAGGCTGTTGCCACTGGAAAACTATTATCTAGGGCTTGGATGACAGCCATAGGACTCCCTCCTTGAATCGTGTCCATAGGAAAGCATAAGATCATAGTTAAATTATAATATTAAGAGGGTAGGTATTAACTGAAAAATTATTACAAACTTACCTCAAAATTGGCACCTACATTAAAAGAAGGGAAAACGGAAACATAAAATTGTTATACTTGAATTTTAAAGGCTTTTCCCACTGGAAAAGTATTATCTAGGGCGCAGACCCTTGGATGACAGCCATAGATAGCAATCCCTCCTCGATTCCTCTTTTTCTGAGTTTGTTGTACGTTTTGTTTCCCATATTAAATAAGAAAGCACTTAATACAACAACACAAATCACAATAAATATCGCTGAAACAAAATTAATATTAAATTTCGTAGAAGAAAAAATCAAAAAATTATCACTTGTCAACACTGACACTTCACGCTTCACTTATAAAAACTCAACGCTAAAGAATGAAAGATGATTCGAAATAGAAATTATTAACTGGTATCTCTTTCTTTTATAAGTATCTAAACAAAGAGAAGGAGTGGGAGTGAGTAACGCTCCGATCAGATTGTTTTGAATTCGTCGTCAACCAATGAACGTGCCGAAGTCAAAAATCAATAACGATACTAGCGCCATGAGACCTGTGTCTGGCCGCAGCGTAACTCAAAGCCATTTCTTGAATCCCAGTTACATTACTATAGGGGATATATTGTGGGTTCACCATGCCGCTGATAAAAATACACGTTAGTTGGGAAATGTATTTATTAAATTTAATAGTAAATAAAACAGTTATTTTTTTAATTAAACAATTAACACAAAATTAACAATTAAAAATAAACATTTGGTAATAATTATTATACATATTTTATAAACTATTTAATTAAGTAAATATTCAACATGTCCTCCTCCTTCTTGAATACAAAAATATAAATAAAAGGGGTAGTTTTTGCAGGGGCAGAACTAGGCACACCACTGATTTTTATATGCGTTTTTGGTATAATAACTCCTGACCTAATCTTAATTTTGTTGATATGTTAAGTCCAGGACGGACGAATTGCTCTAGAAATTCAGTTAAAAAATTGTAAATAGCTCGTTAAATAAAGATACAAAGTTCATTTCGCTATAAAAAAATTTTAAAAATTCATAGTTCTTTTTGATTTTAAGACCGATAAAGTAAGTTTCTTTATGTAAAAAAAATACAGGGAGTGTTAAAAGGTACCTGTGGTGCTCGCGTCCTGTTTGATGAGCCCACAAAGAACTTAACAGATTTGTTTATGACATTTTAGTTGTTTTTTCATGTTTGACGTTTTATGTCATTATTTTTACTTTTTGGTTATATGCAATGTTTTGGAATGACAACCATCTGGTCTCTTCTTTTTTAATAACGTCACCGTTGTTAATTAAGATATGTGTTTTCTTTTGTAAACCTTTACAGGATTTTCTGGATGAAAAGAAGACTCAAGTAGGCGGATTTGGAACGCAGTATAAAAGAACCGCCGTTGCTATGCTGCAGGAGATCATTATAAACATTTCATCGATCGGTTTAATTTTTTTATATTTCAAAAGTGTCTATGTATTAAATAAAATTTTTAAAAAATTATTTTTTTTTTTAGTTTTAAATTTAGTGGACCAACCAACGGGACCACTAAAGTACCTAACCCCCAACTTTTTTTAAAGGGGTCGCTTTAAATTTTTTTCTTCTTAGAATATTGGGCCTTTAAATCTACAGCACTGGCAAACATTTCGAAGAAAAAATCGCAACAGTAAACTTTTTACAAAAAAAAAAAAAAAAACGTTTTTCTGAATGTTAGTTTAACACCCTGTAACTTTGTTGGGAGCCAGTTTTTGATATAGGTAAATATAGCCAAATCCACTTATTTTTTGAAACACCCTGTATAATTTGGTGGTCAAAATAACTGCGCAAAATCCTGGTGTCAGTGACTGGTTTCTGATCGTAGTTAGAACAGACCTAATATATGTATACGTGTTTACAGTTGAAGCAGATTTTCAATTAGGTTCTTTATAATTCAACATTTAAGTATTAAAATAATATACGAAAAAATAACGTAATTATGACGAATTCTAAGTGACGTCTATTCTATGTCATCAATGCGACGTCAAATACACGTTACTGATTAGGATATTGTATTTCGGATAAATTAATACTAAAAAATTACGTCATAATGACGAGTCTGTATTGACGACTAATTAACGTTGCAAAAACGACGTCAAAGTAACGTCATTAATTAGGATATTTACGTTTCTGTCGAATAAACTCAAAAAATCACGTCACAATAACGGCACCTTGCTGCTTGGATGGTTATCAAACAATCAGTCTTAAACTGTGCGTACATTTTCAAAGAACGTTGGAAGCAAACATAATGTAATAACATAATATTTAATACACTAAAAGCGTAACTTTAATAACAGAAACTCAAATAAAGATAGTACTGTCTTTTGTCTCCTTTTTAATACAATATCTTTCACTCACATGTACCGCATCTGAAAAAATCATTTTTATTATTCGCTCCGTGCGCGACAGCAGCGCCAATTCGTTTTGATATTAATGGGCTATTTCTGCGTATACTGACAAATGCAATTTTTAATAGAATTCGTAATTAAAAAGTATATATGTTAGTTTTAATAAAAGTATATGGATTTGTAAAACAAGTAAAACATTAATTTATTATTATTATATATTTTTATCTCTTAAATTAAAGAAAATTATGTATAATCAATAAAAATGAATAATAAAATATAGGCAGGCAACAGTATTTACTGGAAAATGTATGAGAAGTTGCCTAAGTCTAATGTTGTCATTGAAGAATTATTCTATCAAAATAAAAAAATACCATTTAATAATCTCAGATTAAGAATAGCGTGAAGTTAAAATGTATAAAAAGAGGATCGTTATTTATATTTTCTTTTTTGTTGGAAAGAAAACATAGAATGAATAATTAAAACTGGTTTCCCATCAGTAAGTTACAAAATTGTATTCCAGCCACATAAATAATAATCAAAGGCAGAAATCTTGAAATCTAGCCCTTGCTGAATGAACATTTAAGAATAAAGGGATATTAAAGAATATTGTAAAATGATAATTTATGGTTTATTTAAAACCTTTCAAAATTCTAATGTCTACTATTTCCAGAATTACTGTTATTATTACAAAAATAAAGGTAATTTTTCTTCTTATTGTACACCTATCCATTTATTTCTTTGATTTAATTTCCACTTTGCTACTGAAATTTTTTATATAAGTTTCACTGTTTTTTTTTGCTAGTATTTGTACAATTTTCAACACAGCAACTCCGGTTGCTTATTGTATTGTTTTCACCTACGTTTTTGAAAAAAAGTAAAATGTATACGTGTATTTGATATGCCAAAATTACAAAATATCGCCCTAAAATGCACGAATTATCCGCAGCTAGCGCTAGTATCGCTTTTGCTTCCGTTTCCATGACTTCGCACGGAGCGAATAGCGGTGAAGTCAACTAACAGTGCAAATGACTAATGGCATTCAAGTATAACCCCTTTACGTTAATAATGGTAAGCGTCTAGCCACAAGGTAATTTATTAAAAAAGCGCCTTCTACAACAACCTCCGATGATGCCAATATCTGTCTTTTCTCTTCCCTAGTAGATAAGTTTGCAATAACACCTTTAACACTCCCATTTTCTCCCGTTTCCAAATTCTTGGAAAACTACCTTTCTCGAACTCTAAAAGGCTCAAATACTCATGCTCAAGACACTCTCCAAACTCACTCGCACCCATGCATCTTCCCTTCTTCCGAAAACCTAAGTAAAAACTTTCGCGATCAAACATTCGTCTGCTTAAGGATCTCACATAAAACGCGATGCAGCGATGGCGATGACGAATTTGCTACGGTGCCAAATTACATGGCAGTATTTCATGCTACACACACCGACGCGTTGACAGCATTTATTTGGGCAACGCTGCATGCACTGTTTTTACTCCTGCCGCTGCGCATCTTTCAGAAATCTTTACGTCTGTTTGTTACATTTTTTTTTACAAAAGATGTCAATTACAGAGCAATTAATAGAAAAAGTGAAAGAATATTTCATATTATACGACTTAAGCCATGATGACTATAAAAATGTGGGTAAAAAGAACAAAGTTTGTAATGAAATCGGAGCTGAACTGAATGAAAACGGTAAGTTATACCTTATTTGCCTTTCATCTTCTGTTAAAGCTAATAATAATAAAGCTTCTTCTTCAGATGACATTTTTTAGTCATTAAACGGAAACCCAAAATTCACAGAAGAAATGTGTGTCATTAGTGTGAATAGCAACAAAATGGAACGCGGGGTTCCGCGCGATATCTACCGTCACCGGCACCGTTACCGCTACCGCCACCGTCGTAACGCGTTGGTGTGTGAGACCCTTTATTATTTGGTGTATTAAATACCGCGATGGCCTGATTTTCCATCTTTTCCTGAGGTATTATTTTTAAATGAATTTTGTTACCTGATTTAAAACTAAACATTGCTATAAATTACTAAATTATAAACAATCATTGTTCTTATTCAGAGCTTATTCAGAAAAAAGAACTAAATAATAAAACAAAACAAAAATAGCTTCACCTACAAGCAACTACCTCATACCTCATAGAGGTTACAAAACATATCCATTTTATTCTCATGAGTTCTTTATATATATATCATCAACGCATTTAATGTGATCTTCTCACATTAAAAAAAAAAACAAAAGATAAGAAAGCTGTACTTAGAGTAACAAATTAGTGATGTACATATGTAAAAAGTTTCAAAAGTTTGTAATAAATAATAGGTTGTTATTTTTAAATCAGCTATTCAATAAATTAAACATGTATCAACCTAAGTGAATACTATACAGGATGAGATAAGCCACCGCGCATACTCTCAAAGAATAATGTAATTTGATTTTACGAAGAACATAAAAAAGATGAAAAGATAGACTGAAATAAATCGCGGCGAAACTCCAGAAAGTTGATATTAATTCCTTTCCTTACTTTGTTTTTAGATAGTACCAAGATAATACCATTAAACCGCTTACAGTCGCATCTATTGGAACCATATTAGCATATGAATTACTATCCATATACATGGATCTAATAACACCTTTTCCAGCAGCGACAAATAATCCCATTGGTCCCTGAAGATTATTAAACCATCCAGGAAATGGATCGCTAAATGATGGAATAACTAAAATACGTTTGAATTATATTAAAATTAACTAATTAATTGGGTTTAAAAAGTATTCTTACCTACGGCTAGTCTACAAATTATAAGTGGTATTTTTCCAACTTTTTCATATACAAGAGCTTCGGCTAAAGACTTCGAAAATGTATAAGAATTTGGAATTTTACCAAGCAATCTAAAATTGAAAGTGTTAAAAAATTAATCAATTAAAATAATCATAAATTTCCAATTAAGTATATTTTTGAGACCAAATTTAATTGGAATAAATTGCATATACCAAATTGAAAATGGATTAAGCACTCACTAATAAGTGTCAGAATTGGATAATTAATTCTCAAAATATTGGTCTTAATGGATACTAATTATTTATTAACATAAAATTTGATTTTATCGCGAGTGGATGCCGAATTTCTATAGTAGATAGAGGAAGTTACGGTAAGTACAAAAAAACTATTTACTGCAATACAGGGTAATATACAGGGTGTCCCATTACTACGTAATTGTTCATTATTTCAATTTGTGTTATAGACACGCAAACAAGTTTCAAATAAAAGTTAAATGGATTTAGAAAATAGGTATTTTAAAAATATTTTTGGACTTACAGAGTAGGGTGGCGCAAAAAAACCGACTATTTTTTTGAAGCTACTTTTTTGGAGGGGGTCTTAAAATATGATAAATTAACATATTTTCGTAAGAGACTCAAAAAGAAATAGTCGGTTTCTTTGCGCCACGTTAATACAGGGTGTTGCAATTGTTTGACGATGTGAACACAATCAAATATGTATAACTACTACCTGTATGGTATTTTGTTTTAAAAAAGTATAGGTTTGGTCAGCACCTTATTTATGGAACACCTTGTATGTTTAAGAATAATTGTTAAATATAGTCATACATTTTTTATAATAAAACATTCTTCGTATTTCCATAAATAAAACAGCTACCCATCAATTACAAGACCGGACAATTTAATTTATTCTTATCAGCGAAGTAACGGTAAGAGCGGACCTTCGATTTGAATAATACATTCTGAATAAAACAAGTTATTTACTGAACTGGTCGACACAGTAGATAAGATATTGGATTTTTATCGCCCGGGCGTAACATTTGGGGCGGGCTTATTATTACATTTACATTGCAATAATTATTTTATTAAATTTTAGTTCAAATTTGGTTGGATATTATTATATAATTACAAATGATATTAATATTTATTTTTTTATTGTGTTGTGGGATAATGTTGTTGGCTTTTTCTGTTAATATATTATTGACTAATAAATATATCAACGAGGATACACCATCATTAGTTTTATGTTTAGAGTGTTCCAATATATACTCTTTATCCTAAAGTAGCAAATATACAATTATATACAATATATACAATACAAATTAATATCAATCTTCTTCATTTGAAAAATATGTTTGTATGACTGCATATTTTTCTAAATTGTCTTCAGTGAAATTACTTCTTTTAGAAGTCAATAAATCTTTAAACCTAGAAAACGATCGTTCTACGTCACAACTCGTTACAGGAGCAAATGAAAAATGTGGAACAAAATCACAATATTTTAAAGCAGTTTCATAATCGTTAAAATTGTTCAGGGAGATTTGTTTCAGAGTCTGTAAATTTGGATTTCTTTTAATAACACAATCTATTTTATGGTTAAATTTATCTTGTAAGGGCCACTTTACGTTTTTTAAGTGTAACAATGTCGATTCAAATTTTTCCATAGCAACCGATAATTGTAAGTTACGGGTTTCAAGGAATTTTATAGTTTCTGGGAGACACGAAAAATAAGTCGCAAGAAAATTTAACTCCGACTGCAAAGTTGTTTTTGTTATTAAACCTTTACACTGAGTGATAGAGAGAGCGTCCTCTGATAAGTTGGAAATAAATACTTTTAGTCTGTCGAAATGCTCCGAAAAAAAGAACACAGCCTGTAACCAAGTTCCCCATCGTGTAATAACTGGTTGTGGAGGTAGGGGGATATTCGGACATATTTCTTTATATAAAGAAACTCGGGACGGTGCTTTTAACAAAATTTTTTTAAAACAGCTAATCAACGAATTAATGTCTGGAAAGCTGTCACGGATAAACTCACAAACTCGGTGTAACGCGTGAGCAAGGCAAGTTACATGCAGCATGTTTGGAAAATGTTCTTGTAATAGTTTCCCTGTTTTCAACATTACACTTGCCGCGTCTGAAATAAACAATAAAACTTTTGAAACGTCATTATCAATTACATTGTTCAATCCACGTTTCACTATTTCATAAATCATTTCAGCGTTCACAGTTTCACGAAACACACTAGAAACTAAATACTGTTGTGAAGTATTTTCAGCACTTAATAATCCTACAACAACATTAACAACACATCTACCCTTTATGTCAGTCGTTTCATCTGCACTAACCCAAATATATTTGCTGGAAATTTTCGTTTTTATTGCCGTCATTGCTTTATCGTACTGATTTTGAATATAATGTTTTCTAATTGTGGATTCATCCGGTATTTTACGTTTAGTATATTTACAAAGAAAATTTTTGAAAATTGTATTATTTAATTTTGTTAATGGAATATTTGCAGAAACAAATGCGTTGCATAAATCTTCATAAAAGATTTTGTCTGGACATCCCTCTAAAGATTGCATGTGTTTTTGTGTTTTCACATGTTGTGTCATACTTGACTTTCCATTAAAAACTAACACCTGATCACAATTGCGGCAGTATAATTTGTTGTCATTAAAACGACGAAAACAATCAAAGTCCGATAATAAATTTTCCATATTTACGTTTCCAGTTTCTATCACTTTTCCCTTTGAACTAAACAAATATACTCATTGGAAAAATCTAGTGATATTTTTACAAGACACTTTCTTCTCAAATCTCCTGTTTATCGACTCTTTGTTATCTTTTTACATTTTTTCAACCAACAGATACCTATATAGAGTGAGCAATTGAATTAATACATACATTACAGAAATTTAACAGACATTTATTTTATTGTCTCATCGTGTATAAGTACCATAATATCCACAGGAAATAAAAACATAAATTTTTTGTTACAAAAAATCGGTATGTACGGTATCGATAAAAGCCAAAATATTCATAAATATAATATAAGGATTGACTTTATTTGAATAAAAATATCACCGGCAACTAACCGACAATGGATCGAGAAAGTATAAGACAACATATGATGGGCCTATTTGACATTCATTTTAGGCCCTCTCTACAGCGTCTTAGTCCAAACGCTCGTAGAGTCCTAATATTTGGCCCCGATGCAATTTTTCCAACAATGAATCGGGACCAGCTAAGGCTAGAAATTTCCAATTTTCTGGAGGAAATAACAAATTCGGGGGAGGCAGCTGGGGTCCTCGATCCTCATTTTAGGCAGGAGAGTAGTGTACCACGCCAAAATATTGAGGAATAGATATTTTGTAATTATATAAGAGATAATAATAAAAAAAATATCATACAGAATATCGTTTACATTACTACACCTTAAACTCGCTTATGAAAAGTTTAACATCTTCATCAAAAAAGTTATTTTTTTTTTAAGGAAAATTTCTCAGGCCACAAATTAAAGGATCTGAGGTTACTAAAAACTTTTGTAAAATATCCTACATATCCTCGGCGTTGGTGAGAAGAAAACATTAAATTTGTTTAATGAAAATGATTCAAAAGACAAAGAATATAGGTACACGATAAAAAAAAATCTCACTTTTTTGTATTAGTTTTAATGTCTATGTATATATCAGTACACTTTTTTTATCTTGTTTTAATAAAAAAAAGAGGTTTGTCCTGATAGTATTAGAATCTGCCGCACTGTCTGCCGTCTTAAATAGCGAACCCAGAATGAGACGCCTATGTGATTAAAACCAATTATTTGAACGCGATTAAAATGTCCGGTCTTTACGTGATGGGATTTGTTTTTTGCTAACATGTTGGTATATATAAGGAATTTCATGCTAAAATAATATACGTGGTGTTGCATTTGAAAAATTTGAGTAAATTGAACTTAAAATTAACCATATTTAACACTCTGTATAAAACAAATTAGTTCTCTCACCACTATTGGCTTAGTATCTTATAAGTCTGTATACTAAATAATTTTGAAATTAATGTAAACCTACCTAAATTATGATAATTTAATTTGGGGTCTGCATCATTCTCCAATTTCATAAAAAAAAAAATTGCTTGGCAACCCTATAAAGATGGGATGAAACAAGAAACTGCAGAGTTGCCAGGGAGCTCTTAAGTTATCCTGATAATACTGCAGCAAACAAATACTTGACTATGATTAGACAGAATCTGCGCCTAGTCACAGGCATTCTGACTGATCATTGCCAAGTACGAAAGCATCTTCATATCATGCGGCTGTCAGAATGCGCACTCTGCAGAGGGTGCGAACAAGAAGATGAGACCATCGAGCATAACCTTTACGATTGCTCAACGCTCTCATTTATTATAAGATTTGTGTTCGGCGAGTATCGGCTAACACCGGCCGATATAAGAGAAGCACCTCTTGGCGACGTTGTCAACTACATTAAATTCGTAGGCTGGCTCACGAGATAGGAGGTGCCTATCTTCTCAGGAGGATGCATAATAAGCCTAATGAGGCCTAAGTGCCGTGAGGTAACCCTCCCTCCACACATTACAGATACAGAACCCTACAATATTAAAAAAAATAATTTAGGGTTGAATACAGTGTTACCAAATCATTCTAAAACTGAAATCAAATTTTGTTCAATTTAAAAAAAATATTTTTTTATTTGCCAGGCAAAACTCTTTATATCCAGAAATATTTTTACGATATGTATTTTTTAGATCCATATTACTTTTATTAACGACTTGTTTGCGTGTCTATAACATAAATTGCAATATTGAACAATTACGCACTAATGGGATGAATTTTTGGCACAAATTTAATTTGGTCGACACAGGTTAATTAGCTGTCATAATTAGCTTATATTTGCTACGTGTGGTATACTTTAAAATTTCAAGTATAACGTAAATTAATTAAAAAACTCCAGAACCGGCTTCGGAATTTTTTTTTTGTTTTGTTTTTATTCCAAATTATATACATATATAAATATATACATTATACAAAAAAAATATGAGTTTTTTCTACACCATAAAGTTTTTTCACACATTTTTAAATATGCATGAACTTGGATCAAAGTTTTTAAAATACATATACAAAAAAAATCAAAATAAAACATCTAACATGTATTAATTTAGTTTCGGGGACTAAACAGGTCTATATTTAGTGCTATATTTAGTTTTTGAATTGGTTGATTGTCTGAAACGTTATCCAAATGATGTATAAGATCTACCTAATATGTAGCAAAACTTGAAAATATTCAACATGTTGAAATAGTAGTTTGAGAAAAAAAGTGAGGAATTGACACGGATTAAAATTATCATATTATGCTATTGATTACCCTCTGTAAACCCACCAGTTAAGTGCCAAATGGGCGGGTGGTGGATAGGAGAACGCACAGGATTTCCTGGTAAGTAGAGTGTAAGATAACGTGCCGATGGATGAATTGTCGGAGGAGCATATGTTGCATCTAAAGGTTCTCTGGGGGCACTAGGTGACATCCTTTTGTATCTAGCCTTGCTGGCGCAAGCAGGGCTACTCGTTAGACTAAACACAAGCAACATTTATAAGAGGGATGAGCGGAAAAACACCACCCGCAAATCTAATCTAACGGAACCTACTATCCGAAGCGATCAAATTCCTTCAACCTCTCATGTGCAACCTCACAAGAGAAAATAGAGAAAACATAAGACAAGGAAGGGAGTAGAAAAGACACCGTCATGAGTGGGGACAATATCCTTATATTTTTCAGCTCCAAAAATATTGAAATATCAACCCCTTCTAATATCCTTATTTCATGTATAGCATTCAAAATTTAATTAAAAAAGGGTGTTTGTATTTGTATTATCTATCGATTGGCGTACTAAAACTAAAGAGAAAACACATTTTTTTCCAGCTCCAAAAATATTGAAATATCAACCCCTCTCTAAAATCGTTATTTCATATATAGCCAAAATGGAATTAAAAAAAGTTGTTTGAATTTGTATTATTTATCGATTGGCTTGTTAAAATTAAAGAAAAAAATAATTTTTCAGCACCAAAAATATTGAAATTTAATCCCTTTAATTCCTTAATATAATTCTATAAGGGTTAATGAAATAATTAATATTATTCTGAAGGTGTAGTAATCTTTGAACTAAAATTGAGAACGAATAATTTTTGTCGTAAAAGAATATTTTTCGACCGCTGGCACTTTGAGCTCCGGCTGGTTTTGGAGCTTGGCTGGCTAGGAGCTAACATGACACAGGTGACTAAACAGGGGCCCAGATACCCACTAGCTCTAGAAAGTGAGGTAGAAAAACTGAAGAAACAATACTTGAGGCATATGAATCAAGCTACCACATTCACCCAAATAGAACTAGTAGGCACGTTCCTTGGTGTCAAACTTAAGACCCGAGGTGCGGATATTCTATAACAGGGCCAAGCAGAGCGGAGATTGGCAAAGCTGCACCACCTACAACATAGAAATCAGTAAAACTAAACGTAACAGCTTCACGAAATTTTGCAAGGGGATTAATTCTACATCTGCGGCAGCAAGCCTGCACAAGGCTCTGTCAAAAAAGGAGAGTGGATACAGCTATGGCTCTAAAGAAACCAAATGGAAGCTTTACGGAGAATGAGGAGAAAAGAGTTCGCCTCCTACTCGAAACTCACTCGCCTGGGAACACACGTTTTTTTAATAAGAGACACAAGTATGGTAAGCATGCCTTTAACAGACGCCTTTGCAGTGGCCACACATTTGCAGCAGCAATCGGTTATAGTGGGCCGTGAACACTATTGAATTGTTAAAGTCTCTAGGTGTGGATGGAATATTTCCTGACCTGCTTCAGCGGACACAAGATGAATTACTACCATATATTCCGGAGTAGTCTGGAACTGGGATATAAACCAGATTTATGAAAAAAGGCTAGAGTCACCTTTATTCCAAAAATAAACTAGGAAAGATCGAAAGCCTGTATCAACCTGAGCAAGAAAAGGCTACGCATTGTAACAGGGATCCTTACCGGGCATTGCTGACTCAAAGGACACTAGTAAACTGAGAGTAGTAGAAGAAGATAGTGATTGCAGGTTATTTGAGGAGGATTCACATTCTGACTAAATGTGTAGCATTCCAGAATCCAAGAGCACTATACTTAGGAGCATAAAAAATAGGAGAGGTCGATTTACCTAACTTGAAGTCATTCCAAATCCTACACTTCCTTGAGAAGATAGGATTGAAAGGGTCGTTATAGGTATCGATACTAATTTCTCGATGCATTAGTAACAGAAGATGACTCAATAGATCTTTTAGGTCGTAGTGCATTAATACTCCATACCCAACATAACATAGCATATCCTTTCTAAAACAATACCATTATCTTCATACTTAAATACATTTTCTTACTATAGTACGTAGTTCTGTCTTACAGTGCAAGGCAAAAAATGGATAAAAAAGTATTTATAGGAGTGTTAAATAAAACATTTTAATTTTTCGAAGCCACTCCTGGAAATAATTAATACTCGTTTTCTTTTTACAACTAATCTGAGCTAACTTACATCGACTAAGCTGAGATGTACGTTCTTTTTATGATTGTAAGTCAGAATCTTTCTTCCCCCCTTACCGATGCTAAGGTGCACGGTACTTGACGTCAACCATAAACCATCACAGAAAGTGAGTGTTCTGTGCATCATATGAACAAACATATCCCATGAATTCATTATTTTAGAGAGAATAAAAGACTATGATAACAGGGGGTGAGATTTATAGTGTTGAATGTTGAAAAAATTATAAAATTTGATTAAAATATGATGGATTGTTTTAAAACGGATGGCATGGGGCACGTCACCTGTCAACCAAAATTCGCGTTCTTTTTACAGTTAAGCTTAGATCAGAATCTAACTTTTAGTTAGTCAAGTATGCTTTTAAAAAGAAAACTAATATTATGCATAATATTTGACATCTACAGCTTATCACATTTATCCAATTAGCTAATATTATATATACTGTGTCGTCTAAATGAAATGTTGTCCAAATGTGCTACATAAATAAAATTAAAAAAAAAATGATTGAGTTTTGTACTTACCCTAACTAACCAACCCTAGGTACTATAGTAGTAGATTCAGTAAAGATGGTTTAATAAAATGAAAATTGTATGAATGTCATCAGATTGTTTAAGAAGAAATACCGCATATTTTGGTCTTCAAGGTCCTCAGGGAGAAGTTAGACTATAAGTAGAAGTGATCTTACTGGTATGATAAGAATACTCCGTGAATCAAGTCCTAAAAATGCACGTCAGCCGTTGCAGCTGGTTCAATACAAGAGAAACAAATAGAAAAAGTATCACAGTGACTCTTTAAACCAGTTTTGAAAATTATTGACATCTTATTTACAGTAACAAATATGTATATTGGAGGGGGAGGTAATGATGTATTATTTTGGAATAAAACTATTAAAAAACCTAATAGAAAAATACAATAACACATTTAATGATATAAATAGATAGGTAACATAATTTATTATAAACGACTTAGCTTAAATGGTCTTACTTTTTCGTAAATGATATAGCTCTCTCTGTATCAGTTGTTCGCTCTGAAGCAGTCCTGTAATTTTGGGAAATATTTATTTAAATAAAAAAACATTTTGTAAAAAAGTTAGAATAAGAAGAGTTAGAAGAAAGAAATTGAAAATTTAAAGGAAAATATTAAAATTAGATAAAGGTAGTGAGAAAAAGATGGTAGAATAGCGTTTAGAGTGTAAGTCAAGCATATATACACAAAAGTACACTGCAGAATGTGTCTTTCGTCATCGAGATAAAACCTAGCTGGTTTCTGATATGTTGCGTAAAGCTAAACTTGTGATTTAACCAGTATAGTGTTCAGTGTATAAACTATTTGATTTTATAGACAAATAATTACAAATATGCATATTGCCGTATTTTTCTTCTAATGATGTCGTATGATCGTATATATTACACAAGGAAAGGAAAATTTTAAGTAATTTACCACATAATTAAAAAATACAATGATAAGTTACTTATGCCCCAATGACATATATATAGATTAATATATAGATTAATAGACTGCTCATCCATATATAAACAAGACGACGAAAAGCGGGTCATATTGCTTGGCTTGCCGAGTGCTCACCAGGCAGAATCGGTCTGGCCCAAATGAGTTTAAAACACATATTTCATCAAAGTAGGAATTGAATTAAAAAAAAAAAAAATATCTGTATGTTTATTTCAAGACAGGAGCTTGCGTTAGGTATTTTAAAAAAGGATTTTGAGTCGTAACGTCTAGTTTCCCAATTTTCAAAACATTTTAAGAGATCTAACCAATTTTGAACATAGATATAAACAATTTTATACTCATGTGTATATAACTAACTTTAGACCATGACTACTGTATAGTGGCACTATTCGAACACTTGATTATTCTTTTAAAATTTATTTCGCATTATAAAAGCAGATATTATGCAAAAATTGAATGAACTTTTTAAAGATTTAAAGTTAGTAGCTTTTTCACATTCTAAAGTTTGTCCCTTTAGACAATTAAGGATTATTTTGGCGGTGAATGTGAATGATTTGATGAATAATAATAAAATTCCACCAGTGGAAACCTGATCAACATCATAGTAAAATGGACTAGGTACAAAGTGCAATCTTAGTTGACGTCAAGATCCGTGTACCTTAGCATCGGTAAGAGGGAAATAAAGAACGTACAACTAAGCTTAGTCGATGTAAGTTAGCTCAGATTAGTGGTAAAAAGAAAGCGACTATTAATAAAAAGAAAAGTAATCCAGCTAAAACAAGAATTATGGCTACTGTCTTTAATAATGATATGTTGCCAGTACTAGTAGAATGTTAAGTGTTGAGTTATCTTCTTCAGGCAATGGATGTACGTATGCATAATTTAAAATGTTTGGTTAATTATTATTATTATGTTTAATGTGTTTTTGCAGTTAATGAACATATTTTCTACTACTGAAGCAGATAATGAAGATTTGTGTGCTGCTGAATAGCTTTGCTTAAATTACAAAACTTTGTTTAAAAGCAGAAAATTGGGATCGATTGTTCAACACAAGTGAAGAGTGGTGATTTAGTTCATCCGTTTTCAAACAGAATTGTTAGTGCTAAAGAACTATCTACTTTAATAGGATTGCAATCCTTCCAGTTATTAGCCACCATTGTGGAATTAGTAGCAGAGTTGTTTCTAAAGAATAGGAAAAAGGAGATCAGTTATGTCTGTAATGTCTTATTCATTTTATTTGGAGTGAATGAAACTTTTTATCGTTAAATTTTTTAACAGTTTTTAATAAAACTGGTAGAAGTTCTTAGTATGGTATAATTCGGCCTTCAAAACAAGAAATATTAAATAATGTGCCTCTATGTAAGTAAGAGTACTACTACTTGATTGTACCGAAATCCCAATACAGCAAGCCAAATGTCTTTGTTGTAGGCTAAAAAATTACTCTGACTACAAAAAGAGGCATACTATTAAAATATTGACTGGAGTGTCACCTACTGGTCTCATTACTTACAAAAGTGAAGCATATGGTGGTAAACTTCAGAAATAGACATTTTTTAACAAAGTTCAATACTTGAAGTGTGTGAATCATTTCTCGATAGTAAAATGTTTAACAAAGGTTTTCTTATTGGAAACATAGCAGAAGCTGAAGGTATACAAATTATACAGCCTCCTTTCCTCAATAAAAAAAAATCAGTTCAGCCATCAAGAGGCTTTACTTAATGCCAAAATTGCCAGAGCTAGAATTCACATAGAAAGAACCTATCAAAGAATAAAAGTGTTTGTCTCTCTGTATTGGTACTTATGTCCGTTTTTCTTCTATTTATATTGAGTTTTTATTATACGATACTTCTCTGTATCTAACTAACTTTTAAAATGTACTTGTAAAGCCCAGATAGCTCTAACTCGGGCCTTTGAATATAATAATATTTATGTAATTGTATTTACAATAAATACTTTATTATTATTAATATTATTATTATAATTAATTATAATTCGTAAAATTATTATAAACGTATTTACCTTGTACCTACTTGTATTGATACTTGCGTGAAAAATGAAATGTTACTTTTTATATTTCTGTAGCTGGTCTTACAACCCTTTATAAAGCAATTCACCATTTAAATTTAAAAACAAAACAAGTTTTTATACTCAAATAATTAAAAAACTTCAAACAGAACATAAGTATAATTAAAACTAAATAAAATAAACAATTCAACAAAATGTCCGACTGAGTAATGACAATGAGAACAAAATCTCAACTAGACTAAACTTTCTTTAAAACCGGTCCTGTGAAAGGTTTGTTTACCAGTGAGCACTCAAAATTGAGACAAAACACAAACATTGCATGCACTAGACAAAGAGAAAACATCTCCCAGTTCGACCCACTTTTCATCGTTTTATTTACGTATGGATAAGCAGTCTATTTAAACTATATATGTCATTGTTATGCCCTAACAAAATCAATATTTATCAAGCAAATCAAAGTTCATACACTGTTTTATAACTGAACCTGTTAATAATCCTTAAAACCAGACTATGTCAACGTCAACGAAATGAATGAAAATTGAGGCTGAGTTCGGTTTGGCGTTCGCTGTACTCAGAGTGTACTCGGTATGCCTCAATTGTGGTCGTTTTGGCACTCAGGGCGTACTCTTTTGTGTTCGGCTTGCCACAGATCACGTACTCAGAGCGCGCTCACTCTTCCCCGAGTTGGCCGGTGGAGATCAACGAGTATCTGTAGGAATGTGTCAAAAATGTCAAACGTCAATATTCTAATCTATGATTAATCAGTTTACACGTATTATTTCTTGTTTGTTTTTGTTATAACTATTTCCTATTTAACTAAAATTAATTTTTTACAGTTCATTCACACACACAAAAGTGTATTCAAGTGCAAACTATCACTAGTGTCATTTGTCATTCCCGTTGTGTTCGTCTTGAGATTGTAAAAAGAGCGAACTCTGTCGATGACGTCACGCACTCCATGCGCGCTCTGTCCGATCCGTCGAGTTCCAAACCGAACTTACCCTGACTAATCTACATTCAGCTTCAAAAATCGAATTCATCCAGAAATATTTCTGAGATGCCCTTACTAATACCATTGTATTTAGACATTCTAAATACAATGCTAATATCATTGTATTTAGATATCCTAGTAGAACAACCTTATGGACGTTTCATTGGAGCTTCGAGCATATATGATGCTCGAAGCATTGGAGGTAATTCTGTCGCGACATCTGTTAGAACTGTACAGAACTTCATCAAAATGGCTCTTATGCTAGCGCTCTCTCGATCATTTAGTACAGAATTATATACAGTGTGGAAAAGCCAAATGGAATAAATTCATTATTTCGATTACTGTACATATTTATAGAAAATCCCGAAACACGTCAAATTTAAATTAAAAATTGACATTCTTTAAAGTGAAAATGTGATCTATACCTTCAAGCCCCTTTGAGTAACAGTTACAATCCCTAATTTTTTAAATAGGAAGTATAGGCTTGTGATATATCGTTTGAAAGGTCTCTTCATTCTCTATCCAAAAATGTTATTGTTTTTAAATTTATTGCAAAAATTAACATAAAAAAATAAAATAACTGATAACCGAAATTTGTTACAATACACTCAATATGTAATATTTAATTGTTCATAACGTAAAAAATATGAATGTCAATGATGTAGATGTTCAAAATGCTCACCGCGAACGTCTTGGCAAAATCCTAATCTTGAATAAAAATGTCTTCTAACGTTAATTAACATATCGGGCGTGACCGATCTAATCGCAAGCATTATTCGTTATCTTAAGTCATCTAAATCACGTGGTTTAGTTTTGTAAACAATATTTTTCACATAGCCCCATAAAAAAAGTCTAATGGGGTAAGATCAGGTGATCTTGCTGGCCATTCTATTGATCCTCGCCTCCCTATCCAGTGATTTGGAAATGTGAAGTTGAGGTACTGGCGGACATTGATTTGGTAATGTGGAGGTGCTCCATCTTGTTGGAACCATATGGTATTTGCTGGAACTTGAGGGTTTCCTGGATCAGGAAATAAATTTGCCAAACTTGGCACCACATCATTTTGTAGTAGTGCTAAATAATTATCGCCATTCAAATTCCCCTCAATGAAAAAGGGACCAATAATATGGTTTTCAACAATCCCTCCCCAAACATTAACCTTTTGAGGGTATTGTGTATGGACCTCTCTCATCCAGTGAGGATTTTCCGTTGACCAGTAGCGGCAATTTTGACGATTAGCATGACCGTTAACGGAAAAAGTGCACTCATCAGAAAACATAACGTTTTCTAATTGGATGGTATTGTTATTCAACATTTCCATCATTTGTTCTCCTATCAAAATCGTCTTCCATGAGTTCCTGAGTCGGTATCATTTTATAGGGATGCATTTTATTTTCATTTAATATGTTTAGTATCGATGTATGGCTGACATTAAATGTTGCAGATGCTTGTCTACTCGATGTATGTGGGTTTTCCTCAAACTCAAGAATCATATCTAATTTGATATCATCAGTCAGTGCATTGGCAGCTGTTTTTTTCATCTGCTTTACATGTC